GGCTCTGTCGTGTGGGCTAGGATAGACCTCCAGGTAGTTAGCCACGCTATCCTGGAGCGGAACAAGGGGCTTAGTTTTTGGAGGCGGCCCCGAATCGCCTCCAACGTATTAGGTTGAGTACTTAGTAATGTCCGCTTTTTCAAAAACGGCGCCAAAATTTTCAAAACATGTTTCTGTTGTTCCCGCCAAAGTAGTATGGAGGGACCTCAGCATACTTTTATACCACAAAATTTGACCTCCGTTACTCGTCTCTGGGCTGCAATAATGCCGTACACTTCGACTCATGTTCGACACTGCCTTCTTTACGAGTTCCGTCTGGGACACTCAGCAGGCGAAGCTTGTCGCAACATAGGTGCCGCAGAAGGACCGGACGCGGTGAACCTGTAGAAGTTGGTTCCAAATTTTCGTGAAGGCGATTACAGCCTTGAAGACCAACCACGTTCGGGACGCCCAGTGACTGTGGATTTTGATCGGATCGAGGAACTTTTACAAAGCAATCCAAACGCTACTACCCGTCAACTTGCAGCAGACATGCAATGCTCTCAGACCGCCATGAGCCATTGCCTCCAAGCTATGGGGAAATTGTACAAGCTGGGGAGATGGATCCCACACGAACTGAGTGAGGCTGCGCTGCGGACACGTGTGAACATCTGTCAAAGTTTGCTGTCCAGGAAGTCGCCGTTTCGACTGGCTCGACAACATCGTCACTGGGGATGAGAAGTGGGTGGTCTACGTAAACCATACACGGAGGCGTCAGTGGGTGGACGCAGATCAACAGCCGATGCCAGTCCCAAAAGGTGAGCTCCATCCGAGGAAGGTCATGCTCTGCGTTTGGTGGAGTGTACGAGGCGTGCATCACTACGAATTTCTGGAGACAGCACCACCGTTGACTGTTTACAGCGTACTAAACCTGACACTTCCCAGTCACTTGAATGCAAGCTTTTGGCTGTGCCGACATGCAGGATACCAACCGCACACACACAGAGCGCACCACACACGCAAGCATGCATGGATGCGCCTGAGTGGAGACAGCTGGTATGAATCAACACAGCACTACAGAAACAGGGAGTCCATCCCCTGAATCCACCTGCGTCTCAGGGCAAGTACATGGTGGCTTTTGGTCCGCGATTTACCCCCTATCCGCCACCTGGGGTCGCGCCACGTAGCCTCGCCACCAACCGGCTCGAGATCTTTCAGTGAGAGAGGACCCTCAGTGAAAGAGATCCGTGGGACTCGGATGGATGGTAGGTGGAAATGGCGCCTCTAGTGATATGTACTATACCACTTCACCAGTCTCCACTATTCGCTGAACACCGCTTCCAACAGAAAGGCTTTTTTGTAAAGGCAACATGTCGCGTTATTGCTTAAAGGTTACAGCTAGATTCATAGAGCCGACGTCAGGGGAACAAATTCGCCTTCTTTGCTTTTTCGAAGCACGTCATACGAAGTGGGTTGTCATAAACCTTCCACCACTGTTGAACCGTAGTTCGCTTTTTGATCTATATCTTCGACGCCTTCTTTGCTTT